ACGACGACGACGGACGCCGGACGCCGACGGACAATCACTCATATGATAAGCTCCGCTCGACAAAGTCGACAGCGGAGCTAAAAAAAGTATTTTACAGTTACTGTAATAGATGATTTTATTCCTTTATCCCAAAAGAGCATTGAAGATATATGGATTTTTAATCAAAAATCCAAATATGCATACAAAATACATGTACCACACTCAGTCAATCTAACAACACTGGTTTAGCCCCTGGCAATATTTTCTCCCATTCATTTTGTTTAACCGCAGAGGCTTTCATCATGTAATGTGTTAAATTAATGGAAATTTTAGTCAATATTTAAATATTTCACCTGAAAATTGAAATATTGTTCACAATATTTAAGAGAAAAGTGACAAAAGATGACAGATTGCTTACTCTATATAGTCATAGTGTGCATCAACCCAGTAAATTCTGTCCGTAGTATAGTCTATTGTCAAACCATTAGGCCATCCCACTTTTTCACCTTGTATAACAATACTCTGGTTGGTGCCATCCATTCCTATACGCCCAATGTGTGCATAACTCAAACTCCAGTCAGTCCAGTAAACATATCTAAAAATAGAAGTGGTCATGAAATAGTGTACAATGGAACAACATAATTTGATAAAAATATACAATACTCAAAACTTCCTAAAATATGAAAAAAAATATGCAGACCATTTTGAATCTATTTTCGACAAGGTTCACATAATGTGCCAGATAATTTAAGATTATGCAAATTTGATGAAAATTACATAAATTATGCAAATATCACAGTTACCCTATTCTGGGATGCACGACAACCGCTCGAGGCTCAAATAAACCTTTGCTCACAAGCGTCTTTCGACTAGTTCCATCTAGTTCAGCAACGTCTATCATATCATTAGAACGATCAGCCCAATATATTTTCCTTCAAATAAAAAATAAATATATCACACTATTTATCAGAAATGACAATATAAGTATCAAGAATATTCTCATCAGTATATGAAATTATAATTCTGAATTTGGTGGAAGAAAAATATGCAAATCAGCTAATTAATATGCACAGATTGCTTCTTGCATCAGGTATTCAACCACATATATTGTAACACAGACAAAACAGAGCATACAACTCAATTCCTAATCTTTTTTTCCATAGCAACAGTGACTGATATACAAGATATTTACTGAAACAAAAGGCAGACAACTTAAATTTTTCCAGATTGTGAAACCTACCTTCCTACCCAGTCAATGCCGATTCCTTCACCATCTGGCACAAAATGGCTGACAATGGTTTCCAAGCCAGTACCGTTCAGGAAGATTCGCTGCATTACATGACTGGGTACATCGGTGAAATAAATGCGCTCCTCGGCAATGTGAATATCTAGTGCGACTACGTTGGAAAATCCCTGCCCAATAAGTTCATAGTTTGATAGGTCAATGGCCAGTTTACGAATATAGTAGCGATTGCTGAAAACAAGAAATGGGTCAAAATCTGGAAGAAATCAAAAAACGAAAAAATTAGTTGAATCAATAATTGTCAATGACAAGTCTGTCAAATTTTAATGAATTTTTAGCACTAAATAACCATCTTGAATGAGATCATAAAACAAATGCATGTACATGTATATGATGTGAAGTTTGAATGAAATCGATCCACGCATGTCTGAGATACAGACGTGTTTGGAAGCATGGACAGATGCCCAGAGTTGAAATAAGAAATCCCTGTTATTTGACTACTTCTCAATAAGGACGAATTAAAGGTATTTGCCAGGTGTGGTTATTCAAATATCAGGTGATAATTAACTGCTAGGTTCTAAAACTTGGTATACACAAATACAGAATGCCAGCTTCTAAGGACATAACAAAGGGGATTAATTTTGTGCTCCATACATTTGTACACAGTGAATTTTTATTGTCTCTGCATTTGACTAGTGTTTATGGAAATATTGAAATATACACAATATTGAATTCAGTGTATATTACTGAAAAAAAGGGTCATACATCATTGCTTGCTCAAAGCCCCGTAAAATGAATTGCAGCATGAGACAATGTGGTAATGTGGTAATCTTTTAATGGTGAAATAAGTTTCCAAGATCTCTGGTAAGATGTGTCAACTGAAAATTGATCAGGGAACAAAATCAAGCGATATCACATCTATTGTATACATACATTTGCATAATCTAGAAAGATATGTAAATAGGTGATTTTCTGAGATCTTGCATACTGTATGAAAGATGCGAACCGAACGTCTGCCACAAAAATCGAACAGTTTGATTTTGAACTTGAATTACTTTATTTCATAGCTCACATCGAAAGGCCGATCTTTGACAGGTGAATAGTGCATTTGGATACCTAACATCAAATGTGTATATGGCACTTTATTAAGCATAGAAATATCCCCCACAATACTTTCGTGTTTGTTGAATCCCACGCGATGTTTGACGCCACTATGACCTTGGTATGTCCTGTTTTTATGTGCAATTTCACGCATAGCACAGCGCCTCGTAGGGAACAAAAAATGGCCTATTGTACATTTCAACTGAAACAATCATAATATGATTTCAGAACTTACCATCTTCGTGCTTGCAAGTACGATTGTCGTATCCTTCTCTAATGTACCCCTCAGTACATTTACATATGTAGCTACCATGAGTGTTTTCGCAAATTTGACTGCAAACACCGGGGGTTTCCGTACATTCATCAACGTCTTTGAAAATAAAATATTATTATTAATTTTAAAACATAATTTATTGTGGGGCATCCTGCATAGTCAGCATCCTTTGAGTGATTAATGTCTCCCAGTAGAATTTTTTTTTTTCCAAAAATAGTGGGATCTGGTACACATTTATAGACAGAAAGCCTATGATTTACGATACAAATCTGGCACCACTGTGTTTGTTATCGAGCCCTATACAATATTACATAGCTCACATAAAATTTATGTTTACCACCAAGTAAAAAAAAAAGTTTTCTCCAATAACGTTAATTTTCAACCAAACAGGCAAATAATGATTTTGATCAATGTATTTAAATTTTTATCAATAACTGTTACAAAAACAAGCAATTTTGAGTAGCATGCAGAAATGATAAAAGTTAAAATTACACTTTATGGTTAAACTTTTCACCAGCAGAATTTTTTCTTATATTCTTCAATATTTCTGGAAATGAGCCCTAATTTTGGAGCCAACAAAATTT